GGAGGAGGCGGAGGAGGGGGACAGGCCTCAGCGGGGAACGGCCAGGAGGGTGGCAACGGGGTCTCCTGGCTGACTGTCGGTGGGTGGGGGGGATCTCCCGGTCATCTATTGGCGGAGGTGGGGGAAGCCTGATCTGATGGTCGTGTAGATCTGAGTGCATCTCCCAGGGAAGAATCTGCAGGCTGGGAGGGGATCAGGCACTCTGCCAACAACTCGACACAATCCCCAGGGGGAGTTGTAGGAAAGCAGTCTACCCTGGCTTTCTTGTGCCAGCCATTTCTTCCAAATCAGTTTGTCGTTCACTGTTATTTCATATATTTTCCTTTGTGGGTCTATCCACTTCTCTGTGAATGCGCTTAGTAACTTCAGCTTCTCGCTTGAGCCATGGTTAGTACGGAGTAAGGATCAAGTGTTGAATTGCCCTCCCTCTATAAAAAAAAATGTATGGAAGATAATCCCAACATGAAAGAACAACGATCGGATGAAGCGGCCTTGGACCTCCCAGATATTGAAACCGCAAAAGCAAAAAAACGGGGTCAACCGGGAGAAGGCACAAAGAAGTCCCTAATGACCGTCCTTACGGCAACGCTTTGCAAACAAGACCTTAAGGCTGGACAAATCAAGGAGTTGTTGGTCCCTTTGATTTGCTCAGACTCCCCTCAGGGTTTAATGGTGTTGTTGTACAAATCGGAAGACGACCACTTGAGTGTACCTGCAATTACTGTTCAAGAAGTGCAAGAGCAAGAGACAGACGCGGCAACGTGCTGAAGCCAGGGAGAGACATATACGAAGCAATGAGAACCACCATGCATTACTCAGAAAGATAAAACATTCTACCACCTCGCAATCTTTTCCACATCACCCCATGTCCACCTCACAATCCTCTCATGCCTCACCATGTCACTAGCCCAGCGAAAGAAACTTGGCGAAATCCTCGACCGGTTTCGTTGGCTCGCCTCCCAACTCATCAGGAGGTGCTCATCCGAGCTTCAGTTTCGGAGGAAGAGAGTCTTGCCTTGCCCTCTATAAGTAACCTGCAGCCTAGCGCCCGGACTGACCTATGTCCAAAAAGTAGCAAAACGTAGCAAAACGTAGCGAACCGTAGCAGAACTGCCCGATTCTCAACTAAGGACATGGCAGCTATTGTCATCATTTTCATCTGAATATACTGAGTTCGCTGGTCATGTTATGACCCGTCATCAAATCCCGCCCTCTGAGCTACGTAGACAGAAAATCTGAGAAAACCCGAAAAATAAACATCCGACAATAAGTGTCTGCCCGTGATAGCACTACGAACTGAGCCCGTGCTTCGAACGGGTAAAAAACAACCAAAACGTCGAAGAATAAATTAAAATTTCAAAAACGCTAGCTCGGTCTTTCTACGGTACGAAACGGAACGTGCCGGTACGGGACCGTTATTTTCCTATCACGCATAAAGTTGTCCCGAAACACCTATGTACCTTGTTATCCGTGTTGTGTCCCCCGTCTTCCAAAACGGACATCGTCCCCATTATCTGTGGCCTGTCTGTCAGGTTCTCATCGTACCTTCTTTCTACTGAGCATCTGTCCGCAAAAGCGATAAAATACATGTCAAAAAGGGAAAGAAAATCATGAAAGGAGAGATATTCCGATGCTACACTCTTCAAAGGTCATGCACTGGTCCCATTGATCTGGGCCGGTTGACGTCAACAGCCTGTGAAGTGCCTTTGTTGTGCGCCTATCAGCTACAGAGAATGGGCTAGTGTAGACCTGACCCAGTCTCCCATTTGGTACCCATCTTCCGATCCGCGTAAGTTATCTCATTTCATAATCACTTTTCATTTGTGATAAAACTTGGAGCTCGTCCTTCTCAACCATCTCGTAACTAGTATTGAGAGGGAATGTCATCCTCATGCCATGATGGTATGTCGTAGGACACACAATCAGAGTCTCCCCTTGGTTCCGATCGACAGGAGCCCTTACCAGGCCTTCAAGTGAGTCAGCAAATGCTTGGACGTCGGCTTGCGTCATAGCCGATATCCGTGCGTTACTATGTTTAAATAGTTCGTGACATCGGACATTCACTAGCCTTCCGAGGCTAAGACACGACACGGCTTCTCTAATCCCCTGTTCCACCTTCTTCTTCACATATTCGTGGTTTTCTGGGTACGTGACGTTCCTAGAATTATGGAGGAAGGACGGACATGGTATGTGAGAAATCCTACACTTCACATGCCCGTTTTCCCTAGGGAATTCAGATGGAAAGCGCGCGCATGTGCAGGAAACCTCATGCTGTTTGGCATACAGCTTATGGTTGTGTACTATATCTCCCACAGACCGGTTCCTCATGCGAACAATCCTAACTCCCGATTGGACTACAGCGGAAAGCAGTTTATGATCGATCAGGGTGCTAATAATCCTCGATACTTCCATGCGAATCGCGGATCTCCGGATACAATCAGAGAACAATACCTTCACCGTGATCCTACGTCTGACACTAATCCCCGACATCTTCCTAATCAATCGATCCAATTTAATGCGCAGGTAGTTTCGTGTCTTTTTCTGGGAAAAGAGGAAAGCGGTTCGGTATAATTGGATCAGATAAGTCATAGCTCTCCTTGCGAGATTCTGTAGCAGGGAAGGATTAGCTAAAATTCTCTCAAGATGGAACTTTCGTCAATCGATAGCGTTGGATGTCCGTCGTACCTTCGTGACAATGAAAAAAACCCCGTGTTCCAGCTTCCTTCGACAGTCCTTCAAGTAGTATTTTTTCCCGTCAAAAATTAGAATCGCCCGTCCGAATAGCGACGAAATCCTTCTCCAGGAATCCACCCATGTCTTGCCGCCGAATGACCTCACCTGTACTCCCGGTAAGGCCGTTCTCAGGATGAGTATCAGCGATGCTCTGAGGCATCTGCCTACTTCGAAGATTAGGAGGTTACCGCCCGTCGTGTTTGCTGTGTCGCTCTTCTCGATCGCCGCCTTCAATCTCTCTCGTCGTCCTGGTCTTCTTCGCCTCTTCCTTGGTCCGACAGGTACTATAGTACCTGAGGTATTAAGTGACGGAGTGATGCTGGAGATAAACCTTGCTTCAGCCTCTTTGACATCCCTCGCATCGACACCGACCAGCGGAACCATCACGTACTTGTCCCAGCCGAACCTGCGCAACCAATTGTACAACAGAGGACCATGCCCGAAAAATCCGTGCATATAGCAACGGAAATGCTCCCTCCATCTGGTTTGGAAGGAGCGAGTAGTTCCCCCGATGTACATCCTGCGACACCATGGACTTACAATCGCATATACCCCACATGAACTGAAGTCAGGCCTGCCTCTCGTAAGGGGAGCATCCCGATCAGTTTCTCCATCCAAGGGATGTGTCCGTGGACAGCGAGGAGAATGCATGCTGTAGCCGTCGAGACTTCAACGAGTCCAAGCAGATCGGATCCACTGCCCTGCCCCCTTAGGGCGCACCGGAAACCCAGGAGCACCACCAGGTACTCCCAGAGGAAGGCGGTGCCAAGGGGCGCCGCTAGTCAGCTACTAGGTGGCGATCTTGGTGTCGTGCGTCTGGATGGTCTTGGAGTCGCCAGGGTTTCGTCATCGCCTAGGTTCACCACAGGTTCCGGTCCCTCTGTATGCTTCTCATCGTCATCAAAAAGTCCTTCGTATGCCAGTTCTGCCTTCACACGAACCAGTTCCTCCACCACCTGATCCCGTGTGATATACTTGACTCCCGCCTTCTGACACAGTACTTTAATGCGATCCGCCCTCTTCGACGTAATCTCTCGTTGTAGGTTGAAGATGAAGTCCAGCATGCCGCTCCTTCAACATGAGGCTGGCGTCTTCGTTGCGGATGGTGGCGGGGTCGCTGGTGATCTGCTGGGCGCGTCTCCTGGTTGATGATCGTCCTCCAGCGTCCGTTTTCCTTTGTCATTACTGCCTTCTTCGCGCATCGTTCTTCTTCCAACTGCTGCTGAGCTCTCTCCTTGCTCGAATCTTGTTTGCCTCCTGGTTACCGAAGTCTGTCTTGGTGTAATCCGAGGAGAGCGTCGCGGGGTCGCTTCGGGGGCTGCTCTTGTCGGTGGTGATCTTGACTCCAAAAGGCGTATCAGCGCAGCCACTTTTTTATTCAGATTTGACTCCTCTTCTGAAGCCGAGAAGTCGGTCCCGGTGTCCGTACCATATTTAGCACGGACCCGTCTTGGCACGTCGTCTGGTGGGTCTCTCCCTCTCTTTAGTACATCCACCTGTTTTCGAAGTTCCTCTTGCTGCTTTCGTAGACTCTCTCTCAATTCTCGATCCATCTCGGCCTTCAGTTCCTGAGCCTTCCTCGAGAGCTCGTCACCCATCCGTTTATCTTCCTCCTCCCTCTGTCGTCGCTCCTCCTCCTGTCTCTTCTTCTCCTCCTGATCCTGCTTCTGTTTTATCAGGTCCCTATAGAACTCCTTCATGCCATCTAGCTCTGGATCGTTTGATTGGCTTGGTCTCCTTGACCAGCAATCTCTAGCTATATGGCCTGTCTTACCGCAGTTGTAACATGTCGGCCCTTGTCCGCTCCCGCCTGTGTTCCCTCCCCCATAATTCCCGTTCCCGCCGGTGTTCCCTCCCCCGTAGTTCCCGTTCCCATAGTTCCCGTTCCCGCCATTCCTATTACCGCTAAATCCGCCGTTATTCATCACGGAGTCTAATGTCTGGTAACTTCCTACGTATTTTTCGTGTACGCTAATCAGATAGTATTACTATTCCTCCCCCGTACGTGTTAGTCGCCTACCCTCCAATAATCGTCCGCTAGTACCACCGAAATGAAGACGCGATCACCTAAGTGTTGCGCAACAGCGCACTCAGTTCTCGCGCATCTCCGGAGCAAGAGACAGACGCGGCAACGTGCTGAAACCAGGGAGAGACATATACGAAGCAATGAGAACCACCATGCCTTACTCAGAAAGATAAAACATTCTACCACCTCGCAATCTTTTCCACATCACCCCATGTCCACCTCACAATCCTCTCATGCCTCACCATGTTCCTAGCCCAGCAAAAGAAACTTGGCGAAATCCTCGACCGGTTTCGTTGGCTCGCCTCCCAACTCATCAGGAGGTGCTCATCCGAGCTTCAGTTTCGGAGGAAGAGAGCCTTGCCTTGCCCTCTATAAGTAGCCTGCAGCCTAGCCCGGACTGGCCTATGTTCGAAAAGTAGCAAAACGTAGCAAAACGTAGCGAACCGTAGCAGAACTGTCCGATTCTCAACTAAGGACATGGCAGCTATTGTCATCATTTTCATCTGAATATACTGAGTTCGCTGGTCGCGTTACGACCCGTCATCAAATCCCGCCCTCTGAGCTACGTAGACAGAAAATGTGAGAAAACCCGAAAAATAAACATCCGACAATAAGTGTCTACCCGTGATAGCACTACGAACTGAGCCCGTGCTTCGAACGGGTAAAAAACACCCAAAACGTCGAAGAATAAATTAAAATTCCAAAAACAACAGCTCGGTCTTTCTCCGGTACGAAACGGAACGTGCCGGTACGGGACCGCTATTTTCCTATCACTCATAAAGTTATCCCGAAACGCCTATGTACCCTGTTATCCGTGTTGTGTCCCCCGTCTTCCAAAACGGACATCGTCCCCATTATCCGTGGCCTGTCTGTCAGGTTCTCATCGTACCTTCTTTCTACTGAGCATCTGTCCGCAAAAACGATAAAATACATGTCAAAAAGGGAAAGAAAATTATGAAAGGAGAGATATTCCGATGCTACACTCTTCAAGGGTCATGCACTGGTCCCATTGATCTTGGCCGGTTGGTTGTCCTCTGCCACATTGTCTGAACCAAGTCGAGAAACGGGCCATAAACCGACATCGAAGTCAGTCCGACCGAACTAGCCAGACCCTGGAGGAAGAAAAAGTGTTGAGCATCACTAACGACCAAGTACTATACCGCACTGGGAACTGTGTTAAGATCCCTGACCCTAAAATGGACCGACATGTGAATTTTGTTGCCAGAAAATTGTGTAGTTTTGCTCTACATTGTTTTCATGGGCTTAACCTCAGTTTCAAAGTATTTCGAGCAATGGTGCTCAAAGAGGATGCTATGGTAACCCCTTCAGGATTTTACCATGCCCAAGTTGGAGGCATTGTCTAACATTCACTTGACAGATACACTCTCAGCAAGGCCTATCTATGATTGGCTTCTTATAATTGACTCGATCCCTATTGTGACAGGTCAGCACTTCAGGTCTCTCTTGGGCTTGACTGGCTTCCCACCTATGGTGCAGAAGGTGATTGTCGACAACCTATTCACCATCCCTCCTATGAAACAAGTAAATCACACCGAAGACCCCGTCAAACCAAACCAGATTAATGGTGCTACTGAGTAGAATTTGCATAGCAAGTTGGAACATTAAAGGTTTGGGTGACACCACCCGCTGATTTAAAAGGCAACGATTGCTTTCTTGGGTCCATTCGGAAGTGGTGCATATTTTATGCTCACAAGAAACAAAGCTAAATATATAAAAAATCTAAGAAGGAGGTAATTGGATGGGAACAGGGTGCCCTCGTAAAAGGGCACTCTGATAACAATAGCCCAAGCACTCGAGATTATCAGAAAGGAAGATAGGGACATCGCAACGCTCCTCCTTGATATGGAGAAAGCAAATGCTAAGGTCGGTTGGGCGTTTATGTCATCCACACTTACCAAAATGGGATTCGAGTCATGGATGTTCCAGTCTCGGTCTTAGGAGACTTGAAAGGAACGGTTGAAGATGTCATTGGCCCTATAATTAGGGACTATCCGGCATACAAAAAGTCTTTCGAACCACACTTGAGGAACAACTGTTTCGACTTGGTCCCAACAACCAAACTATGTTACAAAAATATTTTTCACATTAACCTGAAGAAATTTGGGTTTGTCAATTTGGAGGTCATTTGTGCCGAAACAGCCTGGTGCCAAGTGTGTCGACGTCATTTTCATAGTGAAAATGGGTGTCCGACTAAACAAAGCCTAAAAACACACAAAGACCACAACACCCAAGAAACATGAGGATGAGGATAGGGATGGAGATGGGGAGAAGGATAAGGGAAAATTTGACTAAAAGGAGGTCAAAGATGAAAGACAAGAAAGGGAAAAAAGGAAGGGAATTCGATCGAGAGGGAGAAAGGGGGGAGAAGTGGATTGACGTTTTGAAAGGGTAAAGGGAGGAAGCGTAAAAAGTAGAAGGTGAAGCCCTTCTCCTTTGAAGAGGCACTTCTTCGAGAGGAAGGGAAAAATAAAGATAAAAGGAAAAGGTTTCAGGAGAGGGAAGGAAGTGAGAAAAAAAGAGGAGGACAGAGAAAGGAGGAGATCAAGAAGCGAGAGGAAGCGAGAAGATGAAATGAAAGGGCATGAGGACGAAAGGAGGAGAGAAGAAGTGAAGGAAAGGCGGGAGGATGAAAGGAGCAGAGACAAAGAAAAGAAAAGGGAAGAGCTAAAGTGCTGGGAAAAGGAGAGGAGGCGGTTGGAAGCTGAAAAGAGGGAACAACATAAGGCTCAGGCTAATCAAAGGGATCAAGAAAAGGGAAAAAGGGGGGAGAAGGAAAAAGAGCAAGGGAGGAAGGAAAGTGGGACCCCAACAAAGGGAGAGAACCCCGCTTTCAAATTCCCTAAAATAAAACCTATTGCCCCTTTTATCTACCATGACCCTCGTAAGGAAAAAGGAAAGTCCAAGTCAAAAATAAGAAAGTCGCCTCGCAAAAACAAGAAAAAATTGAAATTAATCCTCTGTTGCAGAAGGATTCAGATCCTATGAAAGGGTCATCTTCCTCCGAAGAAGAGAACTTCTTTGAAGAAGACCCAGCTCCTCTAACAAATAAGAAAGGAACTCATTTTCATGGGGCTTCTCTTCAAAGGGGGATATCAACGAAAGCGAGATTGTTGAGGCTGAGTTGGATCTCTTTTTTCCCGTCTTACTACAGAAAGGACACATTGCCTTTGATAAACTGCCTAGTCAGGATCAAGTGGTGAATTGCCCTCCCTATAATAAAAAAAAAGGTACGGAAGATAACAACGCATATCCCACCATGAAAGAACAACGATCGGATGAAGCGGCCTCGGACCTCCCAGATATTAAAACCGCAAAAGAAAACAAGCAGGGTTAACCGGGAGGAGGCGCAAAAAAGTCTCTTCTAATTGTCGCCCTTATGGCAACGCTTTCTAGACAAGACTAAAAGGTTAGACAAATCAAGGAACTGTTGGTCCCTTTGATTTGCTCAGACTTCCCTTAGGGCTTAATAGTGCTTTTGCGCAAAAAAGTCTCGTTTAATTGTCGCCCTTATGGCAACGCTTTGCAGACAAGACCAAAAGGCTAGACAAATCAAGGAATTGTTGGTCCCTTTGATTTGCTCAGACTYCCCTCATGGTTTAATAGTGCTTTTGCAGAAATCGGAAGACGACCACTTGAGTGTACCTGCCATTACCGATCAAGAAGTGTCTTCCAAAGAAAAACCATTGAGCATCACTAACGACCAAGTACTGAACTGCACTGGGAACTGTTAAGATCCCCGACCCTAAAATGGGCCGACATGTGATTTTGTTGCCGGAAAATTGTGTAGTTTTGCTCTACATTGTTTTCATGGGCTTAACCTCGGTTTCAAAGTATTTCGAACGATGGTGCTCAAAGAGGATGCTATGGTAACCCCTTCAGGATTTCACCATGCCCAAGTTGGAGGCACTGTCTAACATTCACTTGACAGGTACACTCTCAGCAAGGCCTATCTATGATTGGCTTCTCGTAATTGACTCGATCCCTATTGTGACGGGTCAGCACTTTAGGTCTCTCGTGGGCTTGAATGGCTTCCCACCTATGGTGCAGAAGGTCATTGTCGACAACCTACTCACCAACCCTCCTATGAAACAAGTAAATCACACCGAAGACCTCGTCAACCCGAACCAGATTAATGGTGCTACCGAGTAGAATTCACATAGCAAGTTATAATATTACAGGCTTATGTGACACCACCCGCCGATTTAAAAGGCAACGATTGCTTTCTTGTGTACATTCGAAAGTAGTGCAGATTTTATGTTTATAAGAAACAAAGTTAAATATATAAAAAATATAAGAAGCAGGTAATTCGATGGGAACAAGGTGCCCTCGTAAAATGGCGTTCTATATTTGAGAATATTATAACAATAGCCCAAGTACTCGGGATTATCAGAAAGGAAGACAGGGACATCGCAGTGCAACTCCTTAATATGGAGAAAGCATATGACAAGGTCGGTTGGGCGTTTATGTCAACCACACTTACCAAAGTGGGATTCGAGTCATGTACTCCCAGGCCACCTCGTCAGTAATAGTAACGGCGGAGTGTCATATCATTTCGAACTCACACATTCACTCTGTTAGGGCTGGCCCCTGGCCCCATTATTGTTTTTGCTTCAATTATAAACTCTACTGGATAATATTGAATTTAATCCCAAGATCCCTAACCTTCTCGTCTCCTCTCCTTGGAGTGGAAAGGGGGTGTCATTACTGATGATTTGATTGTGGCCTGTGTGAATAGTGAGTGTGCGTTAAAATAACTTAAAAGAGTATTGGATAACTACTGTGTGTTATCCGAGGCATCAATAAAATGACATAAAATTGTTTTCTTCCTGTCGTCTGCATTTTCTCTGAAAGTAGATTGGGGCCTTCGTCATGTCCCTACGGAAAATTCAGAACGCTTTTTGGGCATTCAAGTCTCCTTTTCAGATTGCTTAAGATCTTAAGACCAACTTCTAGTGGACAAAATCACAGC